AACTATGGACTGTTAAGACCAACATGCATTGCCTCCACAATTACCTTCATGGAAGGGTGTGTTCTTGCACTGTCCAACATGCTGAAGGTAGGGGACGGAATCTTAAAAATACTGAATCCTACACGTACATCATGACCGACTTGATTCACAAGGCTTTTGCTTATGCAGTGTCGGTTCAAGAAAAAGTTGCTGACACACGTGCCCTAGTTGCAATCATGGCTGAATCAATGCCTGTCGAGAAGGCCTTGAAGACGGTGCGCTCGGTATTTTTCGCGAGGCAGTACAAAGATGTGCCGCTGGCTCGGGTTGACTATGGCTCGGACTACATCCTGCACGATGGAAAGGTGGCGCGTCGCCAACCGAGAGGCTTGGTCAGACATGTTCCGCGATGCGGCAACTCAATCATTCATCGTCAAAGACGTGAACTCCGGCGTCGACCTTGCAAAGATGAGTGAACGAACCGATGCTCTGGCTCTCGCCAAGAACGCCATGACATCATTGACAGGTGCTGCGGGTATTCTCAAAGAGGCTCCGGTTGAGGCTTTCGATATCCTCTTCTGCCCGGGGAAGCCCGCGGTCAACTATCTGTTTTTCGGCGATTCCTTCAATGCGTTGGTCAAAGATGGAACAAAGACAGATGTTGGCACCATCATTAAGGAGAACAAGAGGACTCTCTTCGGCCACAAGCATGAGGTGTGGTCTGAGGAGCCATGATCAAGCTCGCCGAAAGACCTGAGCCCAGACCATATGTCATTGTCATTTCGTGGTCCGGTACATCGACAACCCCGCTGCCCTAGCGGGCTGGGCCACGGATTCCGAAGCGAAACGGAAAGCGGCAATGGACATCATCGAAAGGAATGGCAGGGCTGTGATGACAGTTCGTGATCGACTTCGCCACATTGCCTACAGGGAAGATGTCGTCCAGATCGTCCTCATTGTGCCGAGAGACTACGAGACCTACGGGCTGAGCGAGTCGTATAAAGTCCAGATGGACGGGCACTCTCGAGTACTGCACGGGTCCGCAGGCATCACCGCTAGACCCTCAGACCCTTATCTCTAACACGTCTCGAGCTGACCGTGTTCACACGGATGACAATGAGCGGAACAGGAAGCACTACATTAGTTATTTTGTAGCCGCTGCCAAGCTCGGTTATTCCATCGGTCAGATCAATCGGTTTGAGAGTGCCATGAACTGGTATCGCCTCGAGAGGGAGTATCTGGACATCGATACGTCCATCCCGATCGTTGGCGCTTCACCCCAGGAAACTGGCGGTCCGGCAATTGCAAAGAACCCCGAGGACCCATTCGACAACGAGGTCCGCGAAAGGGAGTTGGAGGCGATCAACGAAATCGCCGCGCAAGAGCCGAAGCGCGAGATCTTCCTGGAGGCTGAAAAGGAGGCAAACCCCCTCTACCCCCTTGACACCGTCAAGGAGGAAGCAAAGATCTTGTACATGATGCAACCTGACATTCACGCGGCGACCGTCAGCGGCCTCAACGATGTGATCGATTGGTCTTCTTCTTCGGATGAGGAGGACCAGGTGATCAGCTTCGACCTGCCCCCTGGCTCTCAGCCTAAGGTCAGCCGGCCGAAAGGCCAGGCCGTTGAGGTTGCCGCAGTGGATCCGAATGATGTTGGTGAGGACGGTCAAATCAAGCTCATCCTCACTTCCAAGCGGAAAAGTCACAACAAGATGACTGCAGCTTCAGTGCTGCGACACCGAAGATGAAGGCAAAAGCCATGCCGAAGCAGGCTGCCTCGTCCAGTGATCAGGCGTCCGTGGCTGGAAGTAGCAAGACGGAGAGATCCGTGGCCCGGAGATTATCTCCAAGGCGAAGGCAGTCCCCAAAGCTGCTGAAAAGCCCGGGGAGACCCGTGGCCAGGCTGCGGCACCAAAGAGGGAGTGGATCAAATGCTCAGGAATCAAGATTCCCCAGATTGAGAACTATGGCAGAAGAACTTTCTTGAGCAAGAAGGTCTCGTATTTGGTTCGTGGACATGCACACGAACATGCGACACGATCCATCCCTGAGATCAATCTCAAGGACAACTCCTTCGATTACGCAGCCGTTGCAAAATGGATCCAACGCCGGTATGACTGGAACTGTTCCCAGTACACCCTGCTGCAGGCCACGAGCGCGTCAAGCAGGTTCGAGGTCTATGTGGAATACGCGCCGGCCGGGCAACAGTGGAATGGACTCAGTTTCATGCCGCTGCGAATCCGAGCGTTCACCGGGCACAACGACTGGGTCACCGAGGCAAGCGGCTTCGACAATATCCCCGGAGAGCCCATTGCCATGGATGTCAATTACACCATTGAGCATGCCAAGAAAGGGGTGCGACCGGGCTTCTGCAAAGATTTCTCGGACGCACGCCGAAAGGCGCTGCCCAAAATCGCCTACCACACGTGCAGCGTGCAGAATTTCTTTGACATCATTTACATGGGCATCTTTCCTGGCGGAATGGGCGACCGACAATCCTCACGTGGTCACGCCTACCTAACGGTAGTGCCTCCTTGGGACAGGCATGGCCGGAATGCGGGGGGCGCGCGGGCTGACCGGCCCATCAACATCGCCGTCGATGTCGAAATGTTGATCCAATTGGGCTGTAGGCTTTACGCACCCGGAGACGGGGAAGCCCTGGTGACCGAGGATTGGATCACGAACAAGGTCCTCATTTATGCATATGATGCTGAGTGCGCGAGGTTCATCTGGTCTAATCGCATGTACGTCAGCGTCAGAAGGAATTACCAGGACAGCGTCAAGAAGTATCGTGAGGAGACTCAGAAAGGCGTGATCGGGACCCCGGTGCTTGAGTCGTTTATGGCAAAGGTTGACCATGAATGCAAACTCTACTACAAGCAATGGGCCCCGACTGCTTGCCGCGACATGATGAGGCCTCACTGGATTGGAAACGTGACAAAGGTCAGGGACGTCTACGACGAGAACCTCTCCAAGGAGGAACAGGTCGCCCTTGAGTTTGAGACTGCTCGGTATGGTCTTTACAGGAACTGGGCTCGTGCAGTAAAGCAGCAGCCCGGGGAGACCCGTGGCCGGAGCGGACTTTGGCAGGACCTGGGCCCCAACAAGAAGAAGTCGACCAACTGGCGCTTCGCGGAGGTCATGCGCATCCCCGATGTCGAATGCTCGCGCTGCAAGATCGTTATTCCTGTGGGCACAATCAATTGCTATCAATGCGACAACCTCATGGAGCGCATGCCCGACATCAAAAAGATCGCAAGAGTTGTCCGATTGCAAGAGATGGCCAACAGTTTGGGCGTGCCGCTTTTGATGGACCAGGTTGAGACCCAGATCTTGACGCAGAGAAAAGACGCAAGGGGGGATCGGAGCGCAAGAGGGGGGCTCGGGATCATGAAGGACATTGCAAAGAAAGCCGTCCTTCGCAACAAGGAGTACAACACCTTGTACGAGAGGCTGATCAACGACCCCTTCTACGCTTACACTGCCGCGCGGGGAGACCTGACGCCCTCCGCCCTCGAGTTTATCGAGAAGGTGGCACGATGCATTATTCCGAGTTTCGAAAGGACAAAGGAAATGATCCAAGGAAGCGTTGCTGTGCCAAAATATCACGCACGGCTAACGCTGGTGCCGCCTAGCGAGGATGTGCAGGAAATCGATCCCAAGCACGTGTATGTGGTGCATGGTGGCAGATTTTTCGAAACCGAACAATTTGCCGCGTTGTACGGGAGCCTTGACAAGAGCAACCGCTATCCCGTGATGGGCTGGAGCCGGGATTTCTCATCGGTGGGGCATCCAAATCCCTGGACGAGCCACTCCTCTCCCTGCAGTTGTCGGAGTGACGCGCAAGCCCATTCCACAGCTCCGGGAGACCGGTGGCCAATGGCAAGCCCGGCAATTGGGGAAGCCGGGGCCAATCCTGGGACTCGTGGTGGTCAGATGATCAGCGCCCGTGGAAGAGTTCCCGCAATTGGGATTGGCGGTGAATGAGCGGTCTCTTCAAAATCATTTCAATCTTCGGCTGACATCCAATTACACTTCAAATTCACTATTCTTTAAACTTGTCAATCCATGTTGGCCGAGGATCAATGTACAGGCACGAGCACGCCTCGCGAGAGCGACGGTCAGTGGAGGCGGAAGACCTTAACTGCCAGTTGCTCGTATCCAAGTGCTTGTGTGCTGCAAAAGACTTCATGCCGATCGGGTTTCTTTGGTTGTTTCCTCCCTTTCATTTGTCCTCCTGTTTCACATTCGGGCACGGGGGGTGTAGTTTGCAACGTGATGTATTTATCAACCATGTAAAACCCCAATGAATGTCTCACTAGCGCAGTCTCGCCATTACGACTGCGCGTGGCTCAAGTAAAAAGCGCGCTGTAGGCAGGGTTCATTGTTGACCCTTCCCGGTTGTTTAACCCGTTCTATACTTTGCTTTGCTTGGCTTGCTTGCTTTTCTTTCCTTTCCTTTGCTTTCCTTTGCTTTGCTTTGCTTTGCTTGCTTTGCTTGCTTGCTTGCTTGCCTGCCTTACTTCCTGGATATTTGTCCGTCTGTTTGTTTGTTTGTTTCTCTGCCTGCCTGCCTGCCTGTCTGTCTGTCTGTTTGTCTGTCTGTCTGGCTGGCTGTCTGTCTGTCTGTGTCTGTCTGTGTCTGTCTGTGTCCGTCTGTGTCTGTCTGTGTCCGTCTGTGTCTGTCTGTCTGTCTGTCTGTCTGTCTGTCTGTGTGTGTGTCTGTCTGTCTGTCTGTCTGTCTGTCTGTCTGTCTGTCTGTTTGTCTGCCAATCTCTCTGTTTGTTTGTTTTGTTTTGTTTTTGTTTTTGTTTTTGTTTGTTTGTTTGGTTTGTATGCATGTTTGTTTGTTTCATTGTTTGTTTGTTTGTTTGTTTGTTTGTTTGTTTGTTTGTTCATTCGCTGTGTGTTTGCGTGTCGCTGCGTCTCTGTGTTTGCTTGCGCGTTTGGCGTGTATGTTTGCATGACTTCCGCAATATGCTGTGAGCTGGCATTCGGCCTCTCTGATTGGAGCCCAGGAGGAGCATGGACCAAATGAAGAAGGATTTCTGCAGCAGCCACGAGCGAACCTGTTCCGCATTTGAGTTCGTTTCTCCCAGCGCTTTTGCTTGACCATATCAAGTCCCTTTGTGTGCCATCCACCCAACAACCCCCCCGCCGCCCGCCCTCCCCGTATGATGGACACGTGGGCTCTATTCTTGAGTGCTATTGGGTTGGATCTTTAGACTTGAGCTTGTTGGAAAGTAAGGGGGTTTTCCACTAAACCCTCAACAGTTAAACTTTTTGCAGGGGGGTCAACAGCAACCAACCACCTTCGTTAAGGGTATTGCTTTTTCTTCTTGTTTTTGGTTGAGGCCTGTCGAAGCTCCTTGAGGCGGAGCGCGCGCAGCGCGCCAGTACCATGGCATCGCTGCAGAAGCAGGAGCGGCTTTCGGGCTGGTCGGGTGGCTCGAAAAATGAAAGGCAACCTGGAATCTGGCAACATAAACAAGAAAAACATGGTCTACGCTGATGAGTCTGAGGGCTGCCCTGTTCAAGGGATATGTGAGGTATATACCGCCAGGTATACCACCCCTTAAGGCGCCTGAGGTTTGCCGGCTGGCTGGATGCTTTGGGTGGGCAATGGGCATTTCACCGGCTGGCCTGACACACGCAAGAGGCTCAGGGCACAAAAAGATGGCAGGTGGATGGCCTGCAGTCGACGGTTGCAGGCCTCTGGCGGGAGGTGCAGGCGCAGAGCGCAGCATTTTAAGTACACTCGTCACAAGGGGCATGGCAGCCGGCCAGTAGCTAGAGATGCAAGAAATTCAGCGATCCGACAGCCGTCACGTCGCTGACCGTCACCCAACACACTGCTTCGCGTGTTCATTTGCGGGAGGCCAAAGCCAGCCCTGACTCGTCACACCAGCCGACGGATCACACGCCGGCGGCGGATCCCAAGCCGGCAACAGATCCCGAGCCGACGCCCGGGCTGCGGACTCGGAACATGTCGAAAGTGGCTTTAATGTGGGGACACGCTTGGGCGTTTCGCGTCTGCCTGGGAGCAGTGACGGGCGCCGGAGAGTGATAGCGGGCAGCGGGCATTGTGAGGTCTCATGCGGCTGAAGCGACGGAAGTGGCGGAGGAGGAGAGCCAGGCGCCGGGTATGGCGTGTGTGTCGACCCAAAGAGGCCACGCTTTCCAACATGTCACAAGGAAGGTAAACCCGTGACTCAAGTTTGGTGCCTGGTTTTGGGCACGCATCCACTTTGTGAGACTTTCAGAAATCCGACCACCTTTGGGCGCAATACAAAGGGATTCTCTCGGCATTTTTTGTTTTTAGGCTTCGCGCCGCATCTCAGTTTGAGGTCTCGTGAGCTTTTTTTTTGCAGTGTCCGAATTCTCAAGCTGGCAGATTCCCAATAATTTCATGATTTTTCATATTTTCCATAACAACATGGTGGCTTCCAAGTGCTTGTTAAATTTGAACCACTAGAGTTTTACATTTTTTCGCTGGGTTGTTTTCGCTCGCGGGTTCCAGATTCCCCCACCTTGCAGCTTTCTCGTTGATGATCCATACGTTGTATCGCTCTTATTCTCTCCACGGCTCTCTATCGTCGAGGGCCCCGGAGGGCCACTCTATGTTTATGAGTGTGAGAGGTTCATACTCGTGATTCTGAGTTTGGTCCCGTTCAGGGTCTCAAGCAAACAGCAGACGCAGAATAGAAGATGCAGCAGCCATCAGCAATGGATACTGCATGTTGGGGTTTTGCTACCATTGATCTGGTGTTTCTGCGAAATTGCATTTCAACATCTTGTGTATGCGCCATACTGGCAACGTGCAAACCCATGGATTGATGAGTTCTGGGAACTATGCGTCATGCAAAGCTTGTCCTTGCCTTTGATTAACACAGTGGTGTGGGTGCCCCTGCCACGTCAGGCGCAGCCAACTCCATGCCACCAGCTGGAACCATCAAACAGGGCAATCATAAAGTGCCGCCTGCCGGTGGGAATCTGGCCAAATGAGTCGTGTGGCACCTTGATTTCTCCTGGCCACTCGGCAGATGCCAAAACACCTTTGACAGAGTGGATTGGCAGGGGGAGTTGCAGAAGAGTTTGGCTGCTACTTTGCGGGCAGATGTATCACAGGCCCAGGAGGACCGCTGTGGAACCGCTCATGATGTTGCCCCATATACCCGTCTGTTAATATGGCGGTGCCCGGTGCCTGGTTTTAGTGAGGACCCATCATGTTAGGAGGGACCCCCCCCCATATCAATAAACTGGGGTTGATTTATATGGGGTCAACATTAGCATTTTGCTGGCGGGCAGGGATAGTAGCAACATCACTGGTCGCCACAAGTTGAATGCCGCAATGCTACGGTCAACGGCAGAGGCCTGTATGCGTTGCCTCACGGAGTGGGACCTTATGGATGCAACGGCAGAGAGAGTGAGAGAGAAACATGCTATGGTCACAGCATGCGCGTAGGCAAGCGTTTCGTGGGTATGTCCTCAGAATGGGCATTTCAGGAGCTGAGGCAGTCAGTGAAGGCGGCTGAGGACCTCATCCGCGCCAAGGTTGAGCACAGCTTCCGCCTCGGCCCCAAGTTTTCTCGGAAACTGGCAAGCATAGGTGTCATTTTTGGTGGTTTTGCTTCAACAATAGATGGCGATTCCTGGTTTACCTGGTGGTTTAATCATCTACGAGGGATATCCATCTATTTCCCCTAAAAGGACACCTATGCTGGCAAGGGATGCAGTTACTTGCACAGATGCGACCCCTCCTCGGGCTCGCCGACCTTACTCATGAAAAACGATATTCGCTGATTGGGATTGGTGCTTTGCAAAAAGTGTGCATCGCACAAGGGTTCTGAGGCTTCAGGGTCCATCTGGGCGTGTGGCCTCTCAGCCAAGGTGACATCATGTCCAAGGGCTTCGCCGACATCGAAAGATTGGACGAGCCCTGGCTCTCTCAGCTTAAGGGTCGGCCCTAAGCTTGACAGTGGCAATGAGAATCCGGTCATCCCATCCTCTTGGATGGTGGAAAGGGTGGATGGCCCCTGATTGAAAACGACGACACAAGATATCTCAGAAGCGCCCGAGGCCCGCGTGGCTGAGCTTTCGGACATCCTGAAGCCTGTCAAGTGTGGACCTGAGCTTGTGAATTTCCCGAGCTGCACGCCCGCCTCAAGCGACTCGCAGGTGGGTGTTTCCTGGTTGCACGTGGTGGAAAGTTACAAACTGTATCCTCAAGCAATCTGGAGGCTTTGAGGCGTAGTTGTTCACGCCTCGGTTCAGGTGCGAGCTTGCTTCGCCACTGCAGCAGAGCCAGGATGCAACGGTGCTCGCCCTGGATTGGACATGTTGAGCAGCTTGCCGGCTTGCTGCCTGCGTAGACTCGCCAGCTCCGCCAAAGGTGGCATCCAGTTCAGAGCCAGAAGTGAGGCAGGTTTGTAACGGACGTGGACATTGCTAGAACACCACAAATAGAAAACTTGTTTTTGCGGCGTATTGCCGTGTTTGATTTTGAGCCAGGGAAGGGCCTGCGGAGAGACCTAGATGTACTGGGAGGTTTTGCCAAGCAGATGCCTCTTGCAGACTCATTGGGCAGGGCGGAGTGCGGCAATGCGTTGTCCAAGATGGACCTGCAGGTGCCATGGGCGTGACAAGGTTTGTGACAGTTATGTGCAACGGCGAGCATGAGAATTTGGAATGCTGTCGTCAACTGCCAATGTGGGCAGCATCACTGCAACCGAGTCTTGTTTGGCATTCGTGGTTTTCGTTGCTGGAGGCAGTGCTGACTGAGGGTGATGCGCCTTCTCGCGGGTGCGCTTTGCCTGTTTGTGGCAAGGGATTGCGACGTTTGCTTTTCCAACCGCACGGGCTGGCTTGGGCTTGGCGCGCAGTGCGACGGCTGTGGGGAGAATGATGCAAAGACACGACGCAACAGCGAGTTTGAGGACACCAAGCAGCAAGCAAGCAGGCAAGCAAAAGCAAGCCAGACAGCAAGCAATCAAGCTAAGAAAGCAAGAAAGCAAGAAAGCAAGAAAGCAAGAAAGCAAGAAAGCAAGAAAGCAAGAAAGCAAGAAAGCAAGAAAGCAAGCAAGCAAGCAAGCAAGCAAGCAAGCAAGCAAGCAAGCAAGCAAGCAAGCAACAAAACAAAACAAACAAGCAACCAACCAACCAGCCAGCTAGCCAGCCAGCTCTAGCCAGCCAGCCAACCAACCAATCAACCAACTAACCAACTTTTCAACCAACCCACCAACTGTTGAACCAACCCACCAGCCAACAAACCAACCAACCAACCAGCCAACAAACCAACCAACCTACTAACCCAATTAACCAACCAACAACACAGACACACAGAACACGCACACAAACACACACACAATACAGACACATACACAACACAGACAGAGACACAGAGACACAGAGACACAGAGCCCGCCCGCGCGCGCCCGCGCGCGCCCGCGCGCGC